GTTCCACTTCCTTAGGGACTATGTTGATGGAGGGCAGATCGTCATCGAGTTCGTCGAAACTGGTCGGCAACTTGCGGACGTCCTCACCAAGCTGTTCGGCCGTCTTCGGTTCACGGAGCTGAAAAAGATGATCGGTATGGTGGAGGTTCTAGGGTTAGCAGCAGGATTAGGGGAAAAATTGTTAAGTAATCTGTTGCTCTCTCTCAGACGGCTTGGCAGTAGGGCGGCGCCGAAAGGGCCCTTGTCTTTGCCGTGACCAGAGTCTGCTGACTCAGAGTGGCTGTAGGGGCAGGCGCCGAAAGGCTCACCTGCCGCACTGTAGCCACAGCAGGGGCAGGCGCCAAAGTCAGCCCTGCTGTCACATTTAATCACTGTAGCAGCATGGCAGCTTGACATGTCTGTGCACTAGGATTAGATGGGTAGAGTTGTATATATAGTTCCCCATTGCAGCTCAGTAAAGTGAGCGAGTTCAGTTTTGCCATCTCCTCTATAGAGCTCCGGCCAACGCCGGTGCTTGTGCTGTGTGTGCGCGCTCTGTTCTCCCTCCCTTCTTCTACCTCTAGCCATAGTGTGTGGTCGGCATCGTCAGTGAGCGGTCGGCTCACCCGTGCCGGAGATCTAGGGGCTAACAAGCTCCTGCCTGTTGTTGTGGGAGCTGGGCGGACATTGTCTCTTCTTGTGGCCCTGATAGGTGCGGCCCACGAAAGCATCCACAACACCTCATTTCATCTTTCTTTCTTCAAGAACGTGCTCTTAAGTACTGATATTATTAATTAATATTAAGTATACTATTAAGGAACTATAAGCTTACCAACTTTGTAGTTTACTAGAAAAATTACCGACACATTTGACCATATGAAGGCACCAAACATTAAGCCTATAAAAAGTATTGTGCATTCATGATTTTACTCTATCCAAATTGTAGTGTAGCAGTCCTATTTTCTTCATTTAGCTAGATTAGTGGTAACTCACCCACTGTGCTGAACACTAGCTGGTTTCTTTGATATGACAGGTTGGTGATGACTGTAGACAAGATGTGCTGGCGCTGCAAGTGATTGCTCTATTAAGGGATGTATTTCAAGCTGTCGGATTAAACCTGTATCTTTTTCCTTATGGTGTTTTGCCTACTGGGCCAGGCCGAGGCATAATTGAGGTGAACATGTCTTCGCAACTTTTTTTTTAACCTGTATGGCCTATGGAATCACCAAGCAACAATCGTGTGTAATTGCCTTTTGTTTCCACTCAAATGTGAGGTGTGCACTGTCAAATCTTGAAGATTTGGTGCAAGGGCCCAAGAGATGAAAGTTTTAGTAACTTCGAGCAGAAAAAATTCCCTTCAAGTGTTAAATAAGTTGATAAGTAAACTATACTACATGATACTTCTACTTTTTTCTGTCTTGACATTAAAAAAACCTATCCATGTGGAGAAGACCTCCTTTAGGGAGGTACTCACATGACTTGTGAGGACCTGGGTTTGACCCCAGGTGGGTTGCCTCTCAGCTGGAGGCTCTACCAACCAAACCAAGCTATAAATTACTCCTCAGCAATAACATTTATATTCCATTAAAAAATACAAAGTTTTGAGCATTACTTGATCTCTGAGATTCGAGTTTAGCCTTTGATATTGGTGAATGATTGAGATGTATGGTAGGATACAAATGTACTGATTTTATTTTTGTTGTGGTCGATCTCAGTACTTTTAAGTATTAGTTTTTATAGTCATGAAAGATTTACTGCACTGTTTCTCAATGTTTTTGCTTTAGCTCAGTCAGTAGAGTTCCTATTTGCATCGCTAATATTTTTTCTCTCTCGTATACACTGGAGACCTGCATATCATTGCATCGGTAGTAATGCTAGCGTGTGTTGTTTTTGTTGATATGTTAGAATATTCCTTTTATACCTAATGGTATTGGCTAGTTTCTTGGTTTCCACTATTAATCCTAGGTGGCTGCAGGTGGTCCCAGATACTCGGAGTAGAAATCAAATGGGTGAAACAACTGATGGTGGTTTATTAGAGATATTTCAGCAAGATTATGGTCCTGTAGGTTCACCTTCTTTTGAAACTGCTCGAGAAATGTTTATGATCAGTAGTGCTGGATATGCTGTTGCTAGCTTACTCCTTCAACCGAAGGATCGGCATAATGGCAATCTTCTCTTTGATAGGTATGACACACTAAGTTTTTTTAAATGAATGGTTGAATCTAGAATATGCAACTTAACCATCACCTTGTTTATGCAGCCATGGGAGATTAGTTCATATTGATTTTGGTTTTATTTTGGAGATTTCACCTGGAGGTAACATGGGATTTGAGAGCGCACATTTCAAGCTAAGCCACGAGATGACTCAATTGCTGGATCCATCTGGAACTATGAAGAGTGATACATGGAACCAATTTCTCAGGTGGGCATAAATTGCACACTTAATGAACTAGAGTTACTGGTATGTTCAGTTTAGTAATAAATGACCGGAAGGTCCCGGGTTGAGTCGCGGTCTCCTCGCATTGCACAAGCGAGGTAATACACCCTTTGCCACCATTCAGCCTTTTTTTTTTTAGTATCAGATGTGTGAGAGCACAGCAAAGGGAGCTAGAGAAAATATTAGGGGAAGTAAAGGATTGGTCAACTTATTTTGTTACAAAAGATTATTTGCATCACAGCCTTCACAGTTAACTTACTGTTATGGTGGTAAAGCATGACCTTAATTGTTCCTACTAGCTTGTTATGAATAATGATGGTTGGAAGACAAAATAACCTCAGTGTTGATCATAGTTTGATCGAACCATTTTCTCCACGGACTCCATATTGCACTTCCCTTCAATTTGTGAGCAAATACTGATCAATATTGGCCATGAAAGTACCAACTTATGCAGGTGATTGTGAACCCAAAACTGCTGATTAGCTGGTCTGGACTGTAATCAGCTAAGGAGAGCTATTGACCTCTGGAAAAAATTAAAATGATTAAACATGATTGTGGGTGGACGTCATACTGAAGAACTGAGGAGCAAACATTCATGCATTCATGATAGGAACCAACTGATCAGTAGTTTGTTTTCGTTCTGACTCTCTATGTTTCTGAAATTTGGTTAAGATTAGTTGACTCAGATTTTCTCCCACCACCAGTTTGTGTTGTTTTTTTTGTGTGATATGTACAGTAGTTCTGATTTGAGTATTTCGCTTTCAGATTGTGTGTCAAAGGATACCTAGCAGCAAGGAGGCATATGAATGGGATTTTAAGTACAGTCAACCTGATGGTTGACAGTGGCCTTCCTTGCTTTAGCAGGGGAGATCCTATCAATAATCTTCGGAAGCGGTTTCATCCAGAGATGAATGAACGTGAGGCCGCTAACTTCATGGTACGAACATGTGCTGATGCTTACAACAAGTGGACTACCGCAGGGTATGACTTGATTCAGTACTTGCAGCAGGGTATTGAGAAATAGTTTGTTTCTCGTTTTGTAAATGGTGTTCGTCTACATCAATTGTATGTAGCCACTATCTTTTTATGTAGAATTTATTTTTTGAGTTGTATCGTTGGTAAGGATGGAATTCACGTGATTAACGTAGGATGTTTGTTGCACAGAGGCAAAAAAAAAAAAATCTCGCACTGTAAGACTGCCTAGAAAGTAGTTAGTAAGTATATCAAGATTTTGTATTGCTGTCGCAGAATGTATTTTCTTTTACTAGACATGTAATTTTATCATGCGAATTTTTACTCGTTACGAGATGAGTACTTTGTTCATTGCTTTTTTTCTTTAGAAGACTTAGTTCATTGCTAGACGGCATGTTGTTGGGCGTGTGTTGTGTGGAAATGCCTGTAAGATGCAGGCCGGATAATGACCTCTCCTGAACAGTGTAATTGCCCAGGGCCAAGGGCCCTCGGCTGGTAGAAGATATTTGACCAGATCCAGATGGGCTACTTGCTGTGCTACTACAGATTTCTGTCCTCTGATTTTGTACACTAACTGTTAGATTAATTAAGCAATGTGCACCGCGCTATTTATATTGATGTGATGATATGTGCCAGCCGCAGGTAAATCAACGTCGATTTCTGGACTGTCTTGCCACAGTTTTAGTTCCCTCCGAACAATATCGAGTCCACGGTCCAGTTAACCCATGCTAAGTTCACGATGTTGGGGCATGGACATAATACCCAAAGCGAAGGTTGCATGGACTCTAAATAAAACAGTCCTTTTGCCATGAAACGAAGAAAAATCAAACAAATATGTTGGGTATGTAATCTTAATTGAAACACGGTAAGGCAACGCTTGCTTATTATCGGGGAGTCGAATGATTGGCATGCTTAGCAGGCAGAATGTCACAGTGAGTCCCAAAGAAGGTTTGTATACAGGAGAAGCCCATAGCCACATCAAATATACTAAAGGATCTCAATCATTACGACACAACACAGCAGAGAGCAAAGTCGTACAAACAATCTGTTATCTCAGTACAACCAACATAGGACCTAAGAGCCCATTGTGCCCACGCCCCACGATCATGATCACCAAAGATGGCGGCATCAAAATGGTATGTCATCACTGAGAAACCATAATAAAAACAACGTAGTATATCATCACGTACTTTCTTATACAATCTAAGCTCAGAGTTCCAGACCTTTACACATGTAGTACTACAATGTTTCCAATCGATGCATGGCGGCATCAAAATCTACACCCTTTGTAATTAGTGGATCCTTCTTTACAAAAACTAGAAAAAGAAAAACAACCAACCTAGCTATAAATATACTCTTCCTTAACTATCTACTTTGCACATGAAATTCTGCACATGTACATACAGATATATTTCAGTCGTAAGTAGGGAGCATCTTGGGGGGAGCCCTAATTCGCACGCACGGATATCTGATCAAAAACTAACGCTAGGTACGTACGTACGTTCATCCCCAATTAAAAGTAGTAGAGTAGAAAGAACATGCTACGAGCTAGATAGATGCATCGGTGCATCATGCACATACGTTGCTTCATGCTTGCATTGCATGCGTGGTCTCAAAACTGGAAGCGCCCGTTCGCTACCGGAGGTGGCGCGAGCACCATGCCCTCGTGTGGTAGTGCCTGTGGCAGTTGCTTCTGCTGCTGCGGCGGCGGTGGCGGCCTCGGCAGCGGCGGAAGCGTGGTACGCTTCACGAACCGGCCCTTCATCCGCGGCCGCTTCTCGGCGTTGACCTTGCGCACCTCGTACCGGATCTTCTTGGCGAACAGCCGCGTCCGCCGCTTCTCCCTGTACCGCGACACCCGCGCCTCACGCTCGCCGCCGGTCACCGCTGTCACGGCGCCGCCGAGGAGACCCCGGCTTCCCGCCTGCACGCGATCCATATGGCAAAAGGAAACCGATCAGTTATTTATCCAAAGACAGTGCATGGGAGTGGAAGAAATGTGTAGATCCCATCATTGAACCGTGTAGGTGTAGTGCTTACCGGGAAGTCAGACCATGACTCGTAAGGATCGAGGTGAGGACGCTCGCCGTGGAACCACGGCGATCCGCCGTCACGGACCCACGAGGCGATGACGCCCTCGTAGTTGAGCTTGAGTATCATCTCCGGCCGCTTCCTTTTCTTGTCCTCTCGTTCAAGCGCCGGCGCCGCCATGGCCACCAAGTCCGCGTCCGCGTTCACCTGAGGCTTCTCTTCGTCCAAGAAACCCAGATAATCAAACCCGTCGTCGACTCCCATGAGGAGGCTCTCCATGTCCGCGGCGAAGCTAGCGAGCTCCATGTCCGGGACGTCGAACCCGGAGAGCCCGTCCGCCTCTGCCGAGACGCCGGAGGCGAACTCCGGCGATGTTTCCGCGAGAGGCGGCATCAGACAGGCCGGCTTCTGCTCCCCCTCGTCGGCCACGGGGTTGTAGAACTCGGCGAGCATAGGGTCGAACACCGGCACGCGGTACAGAAGGTCCTCGTCGTCGTCCTGGAACCCGTGTTCGTCGTCGTTATCGCCCACGATGCCGGAGCCAGAGTCCTCCGCCTCGAGGTCGGGGACCGCTGCCGACGCGGCCCAGGCGATAGAGTTGGGCGTCGTCGCCTCGTGCTTGCCTCCCCCCGGCTTGGACCGCGGCGTGCGCGGCCGTCGCTTGAGGCCGTGGAGCCACGTGGGCGCGTCGGGGTCGCACGGTGGGGAAGAGCAGGACGCCGAGGGGAGGCGGACGCGGTGGTGTCGGCGCGCCAACGGGTTCGCTGAGTGGACGGAGATGTCGCAGGTCTGGCACAGGAAGGCGTCGTCGGCGGGGCAGTGCCAGCGCGCCCGCCGCCGCATGCAACCGTCGCAGGACCGCGCCGTGCGCGCGCCTAGCGCGGCGCCTGCCGCCGCCCCGGCGCTCGTCATTTCGTCGAACAATTTCTGCTCCCGGCGGTTAGGTTAAGCGCGAGCTTAACAAAACCGGGAACAGTGTGGGGGCGAGCTCGGAAGCCCTTTCCTTTATAAAAATTGCGAACTCCGTTCGCGAGAACCCGGGCCCACAGGTCAGCGACAGTTGGCGTCCACCATCGTGATCGCGTAGCGGCACGTGGGGCCCTTGAATGCGCTTTTGGGCTGCGTGGAGCGAGGAGGAGCGAGCAGCGCGTGAGGTGGGCCCAGGAAGAATGCTTATCTCGAAGCCGATTGGCTGGCGCGGCACGGGGAATCCGCTGGGCTGGAATTCTATTGGGCTGCCTGTCACGGGTTGGATTTCCGGCGGGGCCCATGAGGTATGGATGATGACGTGGACGCCTGTGCTGCTACTCTCTCTCTCTCTTGCCTCTGCGGGCATGCCGCATGCGATGAGGTTCAGAATGCATGGGATATTGGCCTATTGGGTGACTCAGCACTCAGCAGCTCGATCGGGTACAATCATGCGCACAGGTTGAATTTTCTTCGCTGCTGTTCGCTCTCATGAACGTACAGCACCTCTTGAATTAGCTGCCAACATATGTGAATCATATGCCAATTACAGAACGATATACCTCCAAAATTAGGATAAAACGTTAGAACCACAATTACAATTTTGAGTAACGACTTTATAACTGACCAAATCACCTTATGTGACACACATGTTTAATTATCCAGTAAATGTGTATAAATTTTAAAATGGTGATTCTACTGCGCTACCACGTACCAGCAGATGGGTGGCAAGGAAGCTGTGTGTATATGTAGTACACTTCATCCTAACTTCTCTCAACTCAGTTGCATGTTTTGTGTTTAAAAACCTTGTTGAGGTTTCCACCTTTAAATTTTAATCAGGACAAAGCTAGAACAAAAACAACCCAGGTGACTACTATCACTACCGGATACAGGAGCTTTGCCGAGTTCCAAGGGCACTCGGCAAAACCCCAAAAACACTTGGCAAACCGTTTATCGGCAAATACTGTTTTGCGAGTGTCAATCGTCGGGCACTCGGCAAAGACTATGCCGAGTCAAAAAAAAACACTTGACAAATATTTTTTGGGAAAAAAAACAAGTCGCCGGCAGCACCACCACGCCGCCGTCGCCACCACCACCAAAGCCGCCGGCCACCACCACCACCACCACCACCAAAGCCGCCGGGGAAGAAGAAGGGGGAGGGGAGGGGCGCCCGCTAGATCCGCCGCCACCGAGGCCTCGCCCGCACCTGCGCCACTCGATCCGCCGCCATCGAGGCCGCCCCCGCATGGAGAGCAGAGATGGAGAGGGACCGTCGAGCCCACTTGCTTCGCTCAGGCCCCACCACCAGCGAATCCGGCCACCACGGTCTCGGATCCGCCCACCAGCGGCAGATCCGGCCACCACGGTCATTGGAGAAGGAGATGGGGGAGGAGGGCACGCCGGCCGCCGGGGTTGTGCCGCCGCTGGTGGAGCAGCTCAGGGGAGGAGGGCGCGCCGGCCGCCGTTGGAGCAGCTCGGGGGAGGAGCGAGCGTCGATGGAGCACGTCGAGGAAGAAGGGCGCTCTGGCCGCCGGGGGATCACCTCCGCACGTGGAGTAGCTCGAGGGAGGAGCGACACGGCCGCCGATGGGGGAGGAGCTTGGGGGAGGAGGGAGTAGGACGGGCTCGAGAGTGGTGGCGTGGCGGGCTTGGTGGCGGCGGGAGGCAGCTCGGTGGGGGAGGAGCTTGCGGGGTGGGGCGGTGCGGGTGCGGGAAAGGAAAGGAGGGAGGTGAGGAGGAGGGAGGTGCAGGAAAGGAGGAGGGAGGCAGGGCGGTGCGGCCGGGAAAAAATATTTTACTTCTTTGCCGAGTGTCCTAGATCTGGGCACTCGGCAAAGTTTTTTTATTATTTTTCTTCTTCTTCTTTTCAAAAAAAGATTCTACTTCTTTGTCGAGTGTCATAGATCTGGACACTCGGCAATGTTTTTTTTTTTTTTTCTTTTCCTTCTTTCCCAGAAAAAAGATTTTTACTTCTTTGTTGAGTGTCCTAGATCTAGGCACTCGGCAAAGTTTTTTTTATTTTTTTTCTTCTCTTTCTTTCCCAGAAAAAAGATTTTACTTATTTGCCAAGTGCAAAAAAGAAAACACTCGGCAAATCCCATCTTTGCCGAGTGTTTGTTTTTTACACTCGGGAAACCTCCTCTTTGCCGAGTGTTTTTTTTACGAGTGTTTTTAGCGCAGCACTTGGCAAAGAACTTATTTGCCGAGTGCCCGAGGAAATACACTCGGTAAATTTGAGGATTCTAGTAGTGTATGAGTAGTGGAGCAACATGTACAAAATTGGAGCAAAAATTATTAATCCGAATTGTTTTGAAGTACAAAATTTTGAGCTAGAGAACGAAACATTACTCAAATGGTTTTGGACCCAGGATCCTACCTTGCGAATAGCTAGAGCTAGCATCTCCACCAGATGTCGTATTCAATCTCCTATACTTAAAAACTATACTTCAAAAGTAGTGTTTTTAGGAGATGGAAGTGTTGCAGCGGATCTTCTATCTCATCTCCATTACTTTTAACATTTTATTTAAGAGATCTCCTAAAAAGCATTCTTTCGCCTGAAAAAAGGAGATAACCCCTATCCTTCCCTATCCCTAAAGAAATAGGAGACAAGTTTTAGGTACAATAGCAGCGCTCTCTTATATTCTAAGTTGCTCTGAATGTACTCTCCTAAAAACTACTAATAGGATATATATAAGGTAATGGTAGATTTCATGCAACTCAGCTAGCCCATTACTCTAGAAATTCTTGGAGCCAGAGCTATAAGTACTATGAAGATATTCGATTAAGTGATTTTGTTAGTATTTTAAATTATTTTCTGACACATGCATAAAATCAAACTCCAAATCTTCTATGAATCTTACTACTTTAGAGCCGGAGATAGGTCAAACAGACCTGAGCCGTATATTAGATATTTGCCTCGTTCGGCTTGCTGAATCTTGGTTCAAACTGCCTGAAAACACTGTTCTGATTGAATTGTTGAGAGAAAAACACTGTTCCGACTGAAAAAAACAAGCAAAACAAGCCGAGTATGGGTAAGCCGAACATGTCTATTGTCAACAATTTAGTCCTGGTGTGCTAAGCACATGTGCTACTTAGCATGCACTATTTGGCTCTATTATTATTGTTTGTTTTCCAACAGTTTAGTCACGATTTAAGTATAAAATCACAACAATACATGCATATTCTTTCATAAAGTGTGTATTCAATGATAGCAAAAGGAACATAAGATCTTTCAAAAAAAAAAGTAGCAGGACCCCCCAACCTCCCACCGCACCAGCAAAAAGATTAACGAAAATACTTTTCCATCCTAAATTATAAGACGTTTGACTTTTTTGACCATAAGTTTGACCATTCGTCTTATTCAAAAATTTGTGCAAACATAGTCAAATTTAAGTCATTCTTGAAGAACTTTTATTAATAAAGCAAGTCACGACAAAAGAAGTGATATTTTACACAAATTTTTAAATAAGACGAGTGGTTAAACTTGATGTCAAAAAAATCAAATGTCTTATAATTTGGGATAGAGGAAGTAGTATTTTTCTTTTTTAAAGAGGCAAACGGAACATTATTATTGTTTGCATGATATCTTGCACGTGATATATTTAATATCACACATGTTTTCCCCTTGTTTTGCGAAATATGATAGTTACGACTTTCCCTGAAGAACTTCTCACCGGTTGGTGTTTTTAGATAAAGGTTGGTGTTGATAGCATGTCGACCCAATTGGTAGTATGTAGTCCCCATCAAGAGAGCTTTGCTCTCGCGCACACAAATACTGGCAAAAACCGACAAAGGTTGTATATGCATGACAGATTGACAGCCCCCTTTTTGTTGTCGATCGTTCCTACGCTCGGCCGGCGGGCCATTTATTTTTGAATGGTTGAATTTATTCTCTGTAAATTCTCTGGAGAAAGGAATTTATTCTCCTACATGTATAAATGCAACTATGAAACATTTGCGAGTTGCAAGTGTATTCGTAATTTATTTGGTTTTAGACTATAGAAAGCCATGGCATCTTCTCAAAACTCACGTGCCACGAAAGTTAAATTTGTTGTATAGCAGAATGTCATTCCTGAATGTTATTTTATTTTTATCTTATTTTAAAACAACTAGTAATGACTCCATCAGGGTGAATAAGGGCATGTTTGAATCAAGGGCTAATTAGTATATAGCTAAAAAGTCTAAACATGAAGGATAATAGGTGGGCTAATTTTTTAAATAAAAAGTATTTAACTAGTTGTTAGCTAATTAACTAGCTATACTAATTTTTAACCTAGTAACTAGTCCTGTGTACAAACAATATCGAAATGTTTGTACGGTACATGTTGTCCTCATATCAAGTATACTTGCTGCCAGCGTGTCAATGCTAATGGAGCAATGGGCCTTCTTCGGCTCCTGCTCCATTTTTTCCTCGCGGCTGATGGATAGATAGGTACGCCAGATCATGCCGACGGCGACTCGAGGGTCCCACGGCGACGCTCCCCTCCGCTCCTCCGCGGCGACGTGGCCGCATCGATCCCATGGGACGCATGTGGCCCGTAGGCGACGATCATGCCACGACCGGTGGTTCTCCCCGCGTGGCGCCGTGGCCCCCACCTCCCTGTACCACCAGGGGCCCACTTCCCGTGCCGGCGAGAGGCTCTCGCCGGGCTGCGGGCTGCGGCTATTCGGCAGCCAGTCGTTGATGGCTGCCCCGCGTTTGGTGCCTTGGTGCCTTACTGCCTTCCGCTTCCGCACCAATTGGCCGTGGCCGCAGAGAAGCGACGATCTAAGTTCGGTGTGGTACGAGTAATAATTACTTCGTCTCTTTCTGGAGGTCTGCTGGTACGACGGCTGAAATTACGAGAGAAAAATATTATTTTACATTGATGCTTATGTTGATGCGGATGCATTTCGTTTCTTTACGGAGGTCTGCTGGTACGAGTAATAACACTTCGGCTCGCCGC